AGACAAAGGACTATTTCTACTTCAAAGTATAGGCACTGAAAAAGAACTAACTCCTGTACTTCACCATCAGCCTGTATTTTATGAATGTTTATCTGTGACTCTCAGCTCTACATCCTGCTTCTTGTTCACTAGAATCTTTCCTGCTTTTGTCTAAAAGAGCCTCCCAGGAGAAAGGAAAGGTGGTCTTCTTCAGAGTCCCATATTGTAACTGTCACAAAGTCTTCAGTCTTTTTTTTTTTGTTTTTAGTTTTTCAAGACAGGGATTCTCTGTGTAACTCTGCGTCTTTCCTGGAACTCACTCTGTAGACCAGGCTGGCCTCGAACTCACAGAGATCCGCCTGCCTCTGCCTCCCTGAGTGCTGGGATTAAAGGCATGCGCCACCACCGCCCGGCAGTTTTCAGACTTTCTAATTATGTATTTCTTTTCTTTTTTTTTTTTTTTTTGGTTTTTCAAGACAGGGTTTCTCTGTGTAGCTTTGTGCCTTTCCTGGAACTCTCTTTGGAGACCAGGCTGGCCTTGAACTCACAGAGATCTGCCTGGCTCTGCCTCCCGAGTGCTGGATTAAAGGTGTGCGCCACCAACGCCCGGCCTAATTATGTATTTCTATAATTGGGAGAAAATCACCAATTTATAAAGTCTTATTTCAATCTAAAATAAATTAAAATTTCAATTAAGCAAACACTTTGATGATGAAAAATGTCAATTAAAAACTTCATTTATGAATCAAAACTTAATCCAGGGTAGATGTTTCATTAAAAAAAACCTGGTAATTTTTAAAGAAATATTTAAAAGATTCATGGACTATAAACAAGCTATGTGACTGTCATTTAAAAAAGAGAGTATTCAGGTATTCGCATGCCCATTTTCAATGCAGCATTATTATTATTATTATTATTATTATTATTATTATTATTCATGATAGCCAAAAGGTAGACACTAAGATGAAAAAGTTCTGGAGATAAACAGTGGTGATAGTTACACAACAACACGAGATGATTTAAGATCACAGAAGTGTATGTTTAAAAATGAGTAAAATGATAAGATATGATTTTATTTATTTATATTTTAGAATAAGACAGGGTACAACTGAGTAGCATTCTGAAAAACTGAATCTCTACCTAATCACAGATGAAGATAACAAATAAGTAGATATTCTAATTTTTAACCCATCTGTTACTGAAGAGTGATTCATTCTACCGCTCTACTTGCTCCCTGGTTACCACCTCCCCAGGTCCCTAAGTTTATCTGATTCTATTAGTTCATTTGAGTTACAGACTTTATGATGGGAACACCAGACTCCAAAAAAGAATCACTACTTATAATGTTTAGAAATTCTGAATTCTTCTTGATGTCTAGACTATACAACCAAAAATTACAATTTCCTACCTCCAAGTAGTATTTTTATATAAGCATTTTCTTTTATATAATAGAAATTCAAATCAACTTTATTCATAACTCTTCACTAGAATTTTTGAAGAATTATTGATCACCAACTCATTAAGTTCATAGTAATCTTTTGAGTTCATTATTTTCATGATGAAGCTACAAATAAAATCAGAATAATAACTTGACTTCCGTTTATAAGGTCTTATTTTAATCTAACTTTATCAAAGTTTCCATTAAGGGAACATATGACAGAGAGTTGTGTATATATGTCCCAATAAAAAATATGTTCTTTGCAGTCCATGGCCTAAATTTGAATCTGAGTTCTACCACTTAGTAGAAGCATGACTGAGTAAATTATTCTCAAGTCTCCATTTCCTCACTAAAAAATGTAGCTATCTAGACCTAAGAGTTATTATGAAGAAGGCACAAAGCACCTCACAGATGTCTAACACAGCACTAGCCGGACAACAGTATAGCATGCGGGAAAGCAAGGTACTGCTGGAGGCAGGCAGGACGCGAGAAGGGCTCCCAGGACCCCAGCACCTCACTGCTGAAGCACTTCTGCCCGGGGATGGACGCTAGGGAAGGAGAAGTCATTGTCTGCTGTTGTGTAGCCACTGGTGAGACCAGCAAGCTTCAATACACAGTTCCAAACTCACGGTCATCCAGACAACCCAGGTTAAACTCAGTGGGTCATAAACAAAACAGAGACATGGATGTGGGAAAGGGACCTGTAGGGAGGCTGGGGGTTGACAGTGATGAGAAGGAGATAAAAGAAAGTGGGGTAAGGATCAGGATGCATTATATAAGACTGTCAGATAACCAATTTAATTAATCAAAAATTATTGCCTTTAAAAACCCTAATTGAAAATACATTTCTCTAGACACTCACACATTGAAATACACAGAGAGAGAGAGAGAGAGAGAGAGAGAGAGAGAGAGAGAGAGAGAGAGAGAAGGGGGGGTAAGCACAAGGGACTGAAAAGCATTATTATATTAAAACTTCTAAATATGCATTAAAATGAATTAAAATATTGCTTAAATTTCATAAAATTTCTTTTTATATCTTCCAAATAACCAGATTTATAATATGTTAATTAGATTATATTGCACAGAAAAATGGGAAACAAACCAGATGCAAGTATGCGTATATAGAAAACACAAAGTAAGTATATATACACGCATTCCTCTGTAATGTGCTATATACAATTTAAGGAAGCTGTATAGAAATACAAGGAAAGGGTTGAAAAGTAAACAGGATGTTCCCATCCACAGAACACAATGCAATGAGAGTGAAAAGGTCCATAAATACAGGCAAATTTTTATTGTGTGAAAAACTCACTCAGTTCACATTATTGTCAAAAAAATTCATAAGCTCAGAAAAGTTGGACATTCTCATCTCCTAGGCAAAAGAATTTCCCTAAACAGGTTACTACTGCCACCACCACCCAAGATTTTTAAAGTATGGAATATCTGATAATGGAATTTCTTCCACAATTTCACTTCAAAGCACAAAGAACCTCTATACTATAAATAGTGTGTATAAACCTAAAGAAAAAGCATAATATATAACACTTGTAAAATTTCATCACAGGCTCATGTTTACAAAGATGTATTCCTTGGAATCCTAGTGGCACAAGACACCGGAGTAGAAGGATAAAGGGGATCTGTAGTCAAATAAACTGTAGTCTAGAAAATGCTGCATTATATAGTTTTCCAGATTTATAACAATACTTCCACACAAGGGCCTGAAACTTGCTGCAATCAAGGAGAGCTTTCTACATTTATCAACTGGTGCTGGTGTTTCCCAAGTTCACCTAGCACAGAACTCTTTCTCAGGAAATGTCAAGGAGCCAGTATATCTCGTAGCAAGTTACTTTGGAGAAAGTATAATAAATTATCCATTATATGGAGTCAACAAGCAATTTCATATGTATCTGTTTCCTCAAAAAGTAGTCATTTAAAGAATTTGATTAAGTCTTCAAGTGAATCTTATTTCATGTTTAAAATATTTATTTCAAGGGTAGTATTTATACTCTTTAGTGAGTTGGAGTTCTTTTCAGAAGATAGGTAAATAGGTAAGTAGGTAGATAAATGTTAGAAAGAAAGAAAGAAAGGAAGGAAGGAAGGAAGGAAGGAAGGAAGGAGAAAGAGAGAGAGAGAAAGAAAGAAAGAAAGAAAGAAAGAAAGAAAGAAAAGAAAGAAAGAAAGAAAGAAAGAAAGAAAGAAAGAAAGAAAGAAAGAAAGAAAGGCAGACAGATAGATGATTGGTATGATTGATTGATAGATTGATAGACAGACAGACAGATAGACAGATAGACAGACAGACAGATGGATGATAGAAAGATAAATAAGTAGATAGATAGAAAGGTAGATAAATAGATACATAGATATATAGACTGATGATGGCTGGATGTAGAGATATAGATATTTGACTTCTCCTGAGCTTTGTGCTGTCTAATCAAGTCCAAGCACCCTGTTTCTCATATTTGGGAAGAGACAACAATAGATATGTCCCCCCCAAGCTATTGCATATTTTTTTCTTGCAATTCACTATGGATGGGGAAAAACTTGCAGCTATGAGGTATCTTCAAACACAAGAATATTAAACTTAGTTTTTTTATTAACTTGTGTCGTAAGTCTGAATTTACACAATTCTACAACAAGATAATTAACTGTCACATTAATCCTGTGGTAAAATAATGATTATTTCATTCTAACACCTATATTGAGTATATAGAAAAAATACTTGAATTATTCCTTTACCTATGGAAGTTATGCAACTTCCCCCAAGCACCAATAGTTAGTTAGCAAGGACCAATTTCATACTGTACTAATACCGTGTGGATTACAACTATGTGTCAAATAGCCACACTAACAATTGAACAAAACCAGGAAATACCTTTACTAACAGCTCATTACTTAAAGACATTTTCTTCTTATGAAATAATTTTGGAACACAACTTGCTAGAAGTTGTGTTTTTAAAAACATTAGATGGCATGTTAGATAGCTTGTTGTGAGTAGAGAAATAAAGAGCAAAGTCTTAGTAAGTGTAATGGGGCGCTCATTACTTTCTCATTGTGTTAGAGGCAACAAAATAAAGAAGCTACAATGAACTTGAGGGTGAAGTGTGAATGGGAATGATTATGCTGCCGGGCTGTGACATCACTTTCTTCCTAGGATTTCTTTTCAAATTTTAAAGCACATAAAAGTGTAGCAAAATGCATACATGAAGGAAAAAACAACTCTTTTTGAAAGGTCTAAAGGGGAACCAGTAAAGGCTGTTAAGATAGAAATAATACTTTTGGTAACTCATGGACATTTAGTCATTCGTTTTCAAGTTATACAAAATAAGCTGCCCACTGGGAAAAAAAAGATCATGTTCACAATCTATGGCAAGATATATGTCACCACAGCATTTTATATAATAATACATAGCAATAACACATTATAAGAGAAGTTAACTGGATACCAAGAAGAAAAAAAAAACTAACAAGAAAGGAGAGAGGAATGTCAATAATTTAGTAAATGAAAACAAATTAAAGTATTAGGTTCAAGTATTGTAAGATTTTTTTATAAGTAGACGTAAATGAAACAAAAATTGGTCTTCACCTGGTAAGTGTGTACTCCCTGAGTCCTGAATGCAAATTCATGGCAGAAAAAGTACCTATGCATCCACGCAATCTTTTGTCTCGACCAATCTTCCATGTTACAAACAGTGGGCTGTAACAGAACATAAGATAGGGGAAATCAGTCAGTTGAACCAGCCAGCGTTTATTGAGTATATACCATATGCTAGGTTAGGTGACTGAAATAGAAAGACCAAGGACAAGCCTTCAAGGGGCTCAAGGTTTAGCTCAGTAACAGTGTTTCGTACATTGTATTGAGTGTCTTCTATACATTAGGTACCAAAATTAATGTTTTAATGAAGTATTTTTGTTAATCTTCATCAACAATTCTTGCAGACTGAAGATATTAATTTCCTGTTTACAGACCAGACATAGTAAAATAAACACTCAAACTTGGTAATGTTGAATACAGAGCTTTAACTCATCATTGATGTCTGCCAGATTCCCTGTTTAAACCTAGGATCACTGACTGATTTGTAAGTCTGATTTAGAAAACTGGGAATGGGTAATCAACAACTTTAACAAGCACATTTTCTGACAATACAGGGGCTATGAAACACTAAAAGGCAGTCATTGGTTTGTAGGAAGCCAGAACAGAGGCAGACACAGTCACAGCTAACTAACAAGGCAGACAAAAACAAGCATTATAAGGGGCTGGAGAGATGGCTCAGCGGTTAAGAGACCTGGGTTCAATTCCCAGTACCCACATGGCAGCTCACAACTGTCTGTATTCCAGTTCCAGGGGATCAATCGGTCACCTTCACACCAATGCACATAAAATAAAGTGAAATAAATTTTGAAAAAAAAAAAACCCAAGCATTATAAACCATGTCCAAAATGCCGTAATTTAAGCTATAGGGATAGGAAAACACTTCATCAGACCTGATAATCTTCAGTTTGCCCTAGTAAAATCAGGATGGTTTGGGTAAAGTGTGGCTACAAACATTAACTAGCAAATATCCTTAAATGATTAAGTCTGAAAACAATTATGTTGTAATTGCAAATAACTTTATATAATCTATACATTTTAGGACATTCTGCAAAAATATAAATACAACGCAGGTAAGGTGGTCTGTATTACTATGAATATTCACAATAATAGAGGTATAATATATTTCTGTTTTCTAAAATATTTACATTTATGGGGTTATACCATATTTTATATATTTCTCATTAATCAGTAGTGAGTCAAAAAAGAATATTCTCTCCTTAAAATGTTCTTCAGAAACAAGACAGTCCCTTAAAACAATTTAATCATCTACCTCAAACATTTAAATTATGGTGAGTTCTGACAGATAGGCACAATGGCAGACTGGGTTCCAAACCAACCCCATAGACAAACCAGGACACACTATGAAAAGTTCCCTTCTTCCACGAACTCAATATTCAGCAGCACTGAAAAAAAACATGACTGCAATATCAAGGCAAAGATGACATTGAGGCACCAGATGACCTACACTAAAGTAAAAACAAAAAGGACAGCCCAACTTTTCTGCTTTTTAGCTCTTATGTGCTAAATATAAATAACTTGAGATTATAATCATCCATTTGAAAATTTTCCTCTAAATGCTCTTGATTAGCAGTTCATAAGAAGACAAAAATTAGATGGGAATTACACTATCATGATCTCTTTTCATTACTCAGAGAAACACTAATATCAAAAGATTTATGCATTCTTTAGAATAAATTTCATCTCTTTATTTTTCCGTCTTCCAACTTAGTGTAGTCCACATCTGCAACAATTCCTATGGACAGCAAGATCATCAATCCTTTCTTAACCTCTGAGCCATCTCTCCAGCCCCATCAATCCTTTCTAATCACACTAACTAGACAATATCCCTACGTAAGGCAGGTCCTCTGACAGCTTTGACAGCTTCAGAGTGAAGTGAGTCATCCTGTAAATCTATATAAAGCCATGTATCCAAAGTACCTTGACGACTTTTCAGTAACAGACCAACATTGTATATTCTTATCTCCAGTGACTTAAGAAACTTAAAAAGTGGGAATGAATTCATTTCTTACCAAAACACTTGAAATGAAAGTCATTTAAAAGTGCTATACTTTCAATTATTTACCCTACTAGAATATATACATATGTCATTCTTACAATAAGGTAACATCATTTCCAGTAAATACTTAAAATATATAGGATAAATAGAACTATACATACTGATCACTATACTGAATGATCAAATATGTTGGAAGGGATTCAACCACATGGTAGGGGAAATTACATGCCATTTTTTATAATGCTATGCTCATTCTTTGGGGAATTGTTCATATATGACTAAGGGTGCTAGAGGACTGCATTTCTGCAAGGCGGCCTGGGAAGCAAAGGCACTTCACAATAACCCAGGGCATGGAGATGTAAAAAACTGCATAGGGAATGGGTTGTCTGATAACAGCCTTTACAACTTGCTGTGGTCTCTTTCAGATTTAACATTCTTTGGATTTTTGACATTATTAAATATGTGTTCTTAAGCGTCCTCATAACAGGCAAAATAGATGATGCAAAATTATTTATGTTATTTCCTATTCTTCCCCTAACCAATACCCACTTTGGGAGTTAAGATTGCCGTAAAGCAGCTGTCAAGAATGGGAGGGAATGCCGACCCTACTAAGACAGATGTCTGAAGATATAAGAAGTCAGACTTTTAGTAAACGTTATAAAGTTTTTCCATAAGTGTCTGGGTCTCGCATTTGTCATTTACAAACGCACATCCAATATCTTTTATCTTTTAAAAAAAAAGTATTCACAGACTTAAAAATAAAGTGTCTAAAAGCATCATTTAATAGGGAAAAAGGAATCTAGGCAGTTGAGCATTTTAAAGTGAACTGACACACAACAAACCACTGAGCCCAAAAGATAGCATCATGTGCATAATAATGACTCTGCACAGGGCAATGGCTGCACGAACATTCAATGCATATTATCTAAAAATAGTAACAACATAATTTTCACTCCAAACAGAGGAAAGGAATAGGTGATTTCATTCTTAAATATGGTATTAAAACATGTATGAGTCCGCCAAAGTACATAAGCTAAGCCATCAGCATAAGCAGAATCAGATCAAAGGGGAAAGGGGGTTTAGAGCTTGCTGAGAGGAGCTATTCAATGACAAGGGAAAAAGGAAAATAGTTCATAGTAAGACAAAGATTGAACGTTTTTGGAAAATGCTTTTGCCATATGGTTTAAGGCCACCTACATGCATTGAAAAAAATACTACAAACTACAAGAAGGATCAAAATGAGTTGAAATATTAATGGAAATATTTATCTGAGGGTAACCAGATGTAGCTTTTAAAGGAATTATCCTACTTCTGAACATTTTGTACCGGTATGTTCTGAGAAACAGTTGGAGAAAAGTAAACCCCATTTCCCCAAGCCTGTGCATAGAAACAGGAAACAACCACCTAATCTAGGTGAATCCTCTCTGCCAACTGGCAGCCAATACTGTCAGATCAAAAGTGGCTCTCTGAAATGTAGCTGTTATGGAACAAAAATGGAACACAGAGCAATATAAATCTGCACAGGATTCTCCCCCTTTCATGCCACTTCTAATGCCCTCTTCTGAGACAGTCTATTGATTTAAGCCACAACACATTAGAAATGTGTTTGTAGGACTGGAATACAATTACAGGAGACAATGAAAAAGATGTATTTACTTAACAATGGTGTCACTCAAAGCCTTTCTTTCTGCAACAGCATAAAATGGGAAGTCTAAAACCACAGTCTGTGGTGAGCTTCTCCGTCTCCTGTTTAGAATGAAGCTTACCGGTAACAACATTAACACGATAATAGAAACCATACCTATTTGCTACAGGAATTCAACAAGATTATTTATTTCACAGAGAGATAAAAAGAACAAGAAGGCTTGTATCTTAGTGTGTTTCTTACACCACCAAATAATGGCTGTCAAGTGTCCTTGGTCTCATCAGCAACTTAGCTCAAAGATCCAATTATGCTCATTATACCATGCAACTAAACTCAAGGATCTAGGAAGCTTAAGTAAAAGCAAGAACGATGGCACCTTCTTTCTACCACCAAGCTAAGACATTTCTCTTCATATTTCAATGAAAAGAGGTTGTGTGTTTCCTTTCCAAGCTATATAAATTACAGTTTTCATGAATACAAAATATGCCCAATATCATTACATTCTGCATTAGTCAGCACGGGCTGCTATAATAATTCTCCTAGGCTGGACAGCTTTAAGAAACTTTACTTATAGCTTTAGGAGCTCCAAATCCCATGATGCAGATTATAGTAGACTTTAGTTCTTAGAACCCTCGTCTGGCATATAGAAAGCTACTTTGCCCTCACATGCCATTTTCTGTGAGCGTGGCAGGGCAGCATCTCCAGGGTAGGAAGTACAGCTGTCATGTAAATTACCATGTAGGAAAATTCTACGCATACTACACAGTTAACCATATATATAGATAGATGAGCAGAAGGGCCAGTCTCCTCCCATTCCTCCATCTCCTCTTCTAAGGAGAGAAAAGATTAGCTGAAAAGATGACAGGATGCAGTACAAATGGCAGACCATCTAGAACAGTGCTTCTTAACCTTCCTGATGCTGTGACCCTTTAATACAGTTCCTCATGTTGTGGTGACCCCAACCATAAAATTATTTTCATTGCTACTTCATAACTATAAATTTGCTAGTTATGAATTGCAATGTAAACATCTGTGTTTTCCAATGATCTCAGGTGATCCTTGTGAAAAGGTCGTTTGGCCCCAACAGGACACAACCACAGATTGAGAACCACTGATCTAGAAAGACCAGCACCAATTTACAAGTTCTTATACTGTTCCTATTAGAAACCCACAGCAAAGCCTACTATTCAATCCTCAATGGCTTACCAACACAAGGATGGCTTACCAACACCCTTTCTACCTCCCCCTCCCCCCACATTCTCATTTCATGTTCTCCTGTTATCGAGGCAGCCTTCATGAAATCCAGGTCTTTTGTCTATTCTCTACAAATTGTCCATCAAATGAAAATTTCCACTTACCCTTGTTTAATGATTATTCAGCTAGGGATGGGATCTGATCATTTAATTATGCAATTTATGTTATGGAATGAATAATGCTTAG